AGATTTTCCTTCTTTCGGAACACTGCCACTCGTGGCATTATTCAGCCATTCTCTACTCTTGGTTCCAATAGCTTATTCTCCTGTGTTAAGTCTGATGTTCCGACACGTTCTTCAGGAGAAAGGGGTTATAGCCACTGGCAATTGTCACAACTAGAAGAGACGCAAAGCAGGAACTCCAGATTCCTTCAGGAATCCCCAGTGGAAAACTGAGGTACTTACCGACTACCAAGCAAATTAGTCAATTTTCCGTGCACTTAACCGGTGCCGGGTCAGATACAAGGTGACAACAGACAGTACTTGCCCAGGGAGCTCTTCTCTTACCCAGAGGAATCAGACAGACCAGAAAACTGCTCAGCCTACTGCAAGCTTGCCACAATCCTTTTCCTTGCCTAACAGGAGAGCAGGTATGTAGTAGGGCACTGATTCCCAGCAGAGTGGGCCTTGGCCATGATCCTAGAAAAAACTGGGTTGACAGCACGTCTAACTACTGGTTATGTATGGTCTTCTGAATCTCCACGCAGAGAGTGTAACTTCACAAATCATCTTTTTGAGCAACATCAGTTTGGGGAATACTTGTTATGAATTCGACTTTGGCAAAGTCTTTAAGACTTTAGCTAGAGTGGAAACAAGACCCTCAAAGCTAAAATGTCTTCAGCAAAAATAAGATTTAAATTTTATTTTCCTTTATTCAGCCAAGTTGTTGTTTAGATCTGAGCTGCAGAGAACATTTACATTCAAGAACATCATTATCATCGTAGCAACAACTTATTTAGCACTTACTGTATACTAGTGCCAAGAAATTTTATATTGCACTCAGAAATACTATTTTACTATTTAAATACTATTTTACACTGCGCTAAGAATTTTTACCATCCAGTACCTGGAACAAAGCTTGGAGAACTGCTGGTGGTGAGGGTTCAGTGTTTGTGTAAGGGGGGCAGTGCAAACTGAATTGTTGGTTCACATAAAGATGCCTAAAAATTCAGGAGAAAGCACACGGCAACTTTCTCACTAAAAAGAAGATAGGGATAGGTGCTATAGTGAAAAATTAAGCAAGAGATGCAGCTGGATCCCAGGCCCGAAGACCTGAAGGCTCCTCATGTGGAGGAGCAGGCATGGAACCCTTCTCTTCCTACTCCAGATGGGGACTGGGAGGGACATCAATACCGCTTTTCTTCAGATGAATATTCTGGACTCAGAAGGAAGCACCTTGTAAGCAGGAAGAATAAATCTTTGCTGAAATAATGGATATAAAACCTCTCCCTGTCCAGTATTGTCAAAACAAACCAAAGAGGACCAGGGGGAAGAAGGGAATGTTGAACAGCTATTATGCGACAGGCACTGTTCTGAGCATTAAAAACAAAGTGAAATAGGACATGTAAAAATGTTACAGAGATGTTATATTTTGGTCCATAGTACTCCATTCCATTTTCTCTGAATTCCTTTTGCTTGTATGTGCTTTTCCTGGTGTCAGCACAAATTTAAAGAACAAGCTGAAGTCGTTTGCAATGTGATTCAAATTAAAGGTACAACAATCTTCTGAGATAAGAATAATAAGTAAAAGAAATAGTTTCATAGTAATAGCATCTCTTAGCTGCTTGTATTAGTAATTTACAAGTGTGCTTGTAATTAATCAATCAGATCCACTCTGGTAGCTTTACTAGAGATGTAGTCAGTGTCTCAGTGGGAAAGAAAATACCCTCTTATTTCTTGTTCTGGGTCCCCCAAAGGGGTATAGCCTCTATGCTAACATCAAGTCAGGGTATCTCAGCCCAAAAAAGGGCTTGATTCCTACCTCCTGACACACTTCTAAAGTACCTCAGAGGTAGAGATGGGGGCGACAGGGGGAGCAATGTATCCTTTATGTAAAAATAATAATAAATAAAATAAAATTTGTTTCCAAAATAAAACTGTAAAAAATTGAGACAGATTTAATACTTTTAAGAAACCAGTCACCAGCTGGTACCTGTGGTCACTTCGTCTGAGTCTGCTTGAGAAAAGAAGGGGCCATGCCCTGGTGATATCGTAGAGTCATCCAAGTTTTACATTCTGTCCTTCACTTGAAAACTATATTGGTGTCTCTGACAGGCCCCAAAGCTCTTTTCCTGATTTTTCCACCAGAGCCCACATTTCTACACTTAAGAATAAGAAAGAGTTATTTAATGATAACACATTTCAATAATCTGTTGCTATATAACAAAGCTACCCATAACTTAGTGGCTTATAACAACCATCTCTTTTCTTTTTTAATCTCTCCCACCTGTGGATTGCCTGAGCTCGTCTGGGCATTTATTCTTCTGGCGTCTCTTGAGTTCCAATCAGATGGTGGCTGGAGAGCAGGCGGGAGTCAGCTGGAGGGATGGCTGAGCCCTCTCCCTTTGCCAGGAGTCTCAGGGCCTCTCTTCTCTGCGTGGTCTCTCCACACGGTCTCACCACCTTCGTAACTGGACTTTCTACACAGTAGCTCAGGGCTCCCAGCAGCACAAGAAACAGAATCTGCTACGTCTCCTGAAGGGCTGATCCCAGAGCTGGCACAGCATCACTTCTGCTGCATTCTATTGGGTTAGAGCAGCAAGTCCAACCCAGGTTAAACGCGGGAGGAGTTTATACAAGGATGTAATCACCTGAGGTATGGTTCCCGGGGCCAACCTTGGAGACCAGCTACCGCCATCACCACAGCTGCACAAAGGAAAAGATTGTGTATTCATCTGGGCAGGGCATCAGGGGTTTCCTTTACACCTTGACGGAAGGACATACCACTCCCCATGTTCCTCCATTCACATGTCACAAGAAGGGAGAACTCGATAACACGAGAGAGTTCTTGAGATGTCCCTTTGTGTTTTCAAATATAGGGAAACTGCCTTTTTGCTTTGATGCTTGGGTGCCATGCTTCCCAACAAACCTTACCATCAAGGCTTCTAAATCTGAGGGCTTCAAATTCCTATAGCCCTTGGATGGGTTATGAGAGGTCATGAATTGCCTAAAACTATACCTCAACTATTCTGTTTGTGCCTATGTGCATGCTCCTGGGGAGGGGATGCCTAGCTTTCCTCAGACTCATCTAAAGTGAACTCTACCAGGCAAGACACCTAAGAGGGCTTCGAACTCAGCAAGAGCTGCCCTGGATTTCCACCTCCTGACATACTTCCAAAGTATCTCAGAAGTAGAGATGGGGGAAAAGCAATCTATCTTTTATATATTTGTTTCCAAATAAAACAAAAAGTCATGCCATCACTAGTTGGTACCTAAGGTCACTACATCTGAGTCTGCTTGAGGAAAGAGAAGGAATGAACTAGATGCCTCCGCCCCCAAGAATTACTGTGAGGACTATTACCCTCCACTTGGGTTAAAGGCAGGAGAAATGCCTAAAATTTTAGCTCTCATTATTTTCCCCCTTGTACCAGGTGAGTGGTCAAGAACAGAACTCACTAGGACTTCCGGCTGTCCCCCCTGAGCACTCCACTTGCTTCTCCCTTTCCTCTTTTCCCTATTTAGCTTCTTAATTTTGGTAAGAGATAGCAGCCAAGGGTACAACTGAGTCTCCTTGGGCCAACCAGGTAGGCACTAAAATGCCTCATGTGACCTGAACTGGCGACACAGCCTTGAACCTCAGCCAGTGAGGCCCCTCTGCTCACTTGATCTACTAGAACTCTTGGCACATCCTGGGGAAGGAACTAGGCTGGAAGCAGAACCTGTCTGGGGTCAGAAGAGGAAAGAATGTGGAAAAGGGTAGCAGTAGAGGCAAATAAGATTTGATGATATATAAGCCTGGCATGAACTTTATAATTTCAAGTTTTTAAGGTAACCTCTGTTATGTCTAACGAAATACTTTTCCCCACTGAAACTTTCTATCTCGAACATTCCTAGCATCCAGGAACCCTTTCTAAAAAACAGACACCCTGCCAATTTCTCAAGAGAATCCAGGAAACCATTCCCGTTCAGATATCCCTCCTCAAGAGACATGCTTTGAGCTATCCCCCCGCTTCTCCTCCCTTCTCTCTACAGCATTTATCAGTATGGAGAATTATGTAGTTTCTCACCTCCAGAATGCAAGCTCTCCCGGCGCCCACGGGATACATCGAGGCACAAAGGAAAACAGAACAAATACGTTGTGAGAACTTGTAACACGAAGCTTTCACCATATATATGTGGCAGATGAGGGCTCCGTGCCTCCTTCCCTCACTTGCAAAACCGGGATGATAGCACCTAAGCTCATAGGCTTGGTCAGGCTCAAAGTCGGGACAAAATGGCATTGCCGACAACATCTGGCACGAGAAATGCCCATCACAAGTCATCTGTATCAACGTGTCTGTTTTTGTTGTTGCATTTGTAAGGCACATCACATACAAATCATCCCTGGACCCCTCCAGAGTTTAGTCAGGAAACGCAATGGGCCACGTATGCACTTTATAGCAAAATAGCCTATTGAAATTATAAATGACGAGGTTCATTAAAAGGTCACAATGCACATTTTATTTTGATTAGTTCCTGTGACTCCTTCAAATTATTTTTAACCCAGCAACACTACTTCCCAAGGAGTAGGCACGTGAGAATTGGCAAGTTCAGTGCTGAGAGGGAGTGTAAAGACTGTTCGTGAAATGCAGACCAAAAAAAAAAAAAAAAATCCAAAAGCCTCTTCAGGCAGGTCTCAAGATTCAACAACTAGAAAACCAAAATTACTTACATGTTCTCCTCTGGTGAAAGTGATATACCGAAACAGAAAAACCATTACTTTTTAGAGACTACTATCACTTGAAATGTATAATGTAGGCCCATTTCACGAGGGTTTTTTCCCTAACAAAAATGATTACATCAAAATTGGACATCCTAATGTTCATTTTTAGGGCTTCTCCTTGGAGTCATTTAGGTCTACTATTATGAGAGAATGAGAAATTTACAGTAACTATATATTAAATGTCACCATTAAAATATTCCTAATCCTATTTATACTCAACATTGATCTCAAAAACTGGTTGTGTGAGAGAGGCACTAGCAGAGTGAAAGATTCCAGATTTTATTTTTTTAAAGATTGAAAACACACACCCAGGACAAAATTTCTTTGATCAACAAATTTTCAGGAAATGGAGCAAGTTGTTCTGGGACACACTCAAAACTGGTAAACTTGAAGTTGGAAATGGGCTTTTAACAATGTAACGGTGGGAAACAAGTATCTGAACAAATCTTAAAACACACCCTCACATTTTTCTCCCCCCAACTGTTCAAGTGGCAGACAAAATAAATTACCATAAATTATATGCCAAGGCAACTTAAAAACAAAACAACACAACACGAGGCTGAGGATTTCCTTCGCTCCTCCGGGAAGTGTGTAACACTGCTTCTGGCCTGCAGGCTGGGTCGGCTGGGGACTCGTCAGACGTCAGGATAGCTGCAGTAATATACCGCAGAGCTAGCATCGGACACCACCGAGGAGATGGCCCCGTGGCTGTCCGGGAGAGTCACACTAGAGTCATGTCCCTGGTAGGGGAGACCCATCTCGGGCTTGCACACAAAGTGCAGATACTGTTCGAATTCCGTGCGGTCCACCTCCCCGAGGAGGTCGGCGGGCTGGCTCGGGTCCGCGCCGTCCCGGCAGGACAGCGCCTCGGGAGGGGGCGACGGCTGCCCAGGGCCCGGCGGGTGCTGCTGCGGCTGCATCTGGAAGCCGCGCCCGCCCCCCGCCGCCGCCGGAGAGCCCATCGCGCCGTAGTACATGTGCAGCGCGCTGGGGGGCGCCAGGAGGCCCGACATTGCGGAGCCCGCGGGCTCGGGGCCAAGCCGGGGGTGCATGGGGCCGGCGGGCGGCTCCGGGGGCCCCCCGTAGTCCGAGGCCTGCGCATAGCTGTAGGGCCCGGCTGCTGGACAGTCCCCGGGCAGCGGCGCAGCGAAGAAGGCCGGATCCGGCTCCACGCCGTCCAGGGGGGACGTGTCGGGCGTGGGCAGCGGGTAGCCGTCGAGCGGGGGTGCGCCCAGGCCCTGGCAGTCGCGGTAGTGGCCGCCCATGTGCGGGGGCAGCAGCGGCGGGCCCGCGGGGAAGCCCTGCTCGGGGAAGGGCAGGCCCAGGCCGTCCACGGCCACGCGGCCGCCCTCAGGGCCCAGCGCGGCCACCTGCGGCTCGGCGAGGCCGTGCAGGAAGCCGCCCTCCACCCGCTTCAGCCGCTTCACCTGCTTGCGCCGCCGCGGCCGGTACTTGTAGTTGGGATGGTCCTGCATGTGCTGCACGCGCAGCCGCTCGGCCTCCTCCACGAAGGGCCGCTTCTCCGCCAGGGTCAGCGCTTTCCACGACTTGCCTGCATAGGCGTGGGAGGTGGAGAAGGGCGCGGGGCTTACCCTGAGCTCCCGCTCCCAGGCCCCACCTGGCCCCACCTCTCCCCTCCGCCCTTGAATTGTGCAACTGGAAGGAGGAAGGGGTCAAGTTAAAGAGTGAAACTATGGGGCTCAGGAGACCTAGTGGAGTCCGAGCACTGGGGGAAGAAAAGAGATCTGGGGTCCTCTAAGGGCATCCCTCCCTTCTTTTAGCCTCCTGGAAGCGGCTTCCCCGCTCACCCACTCCCGGTCGTTCGAAGAATTGAAAACGTCCCGTACCCGGGGAAGGAGTCAGGGAACTGGCACGACCAACCCAGCTCGGCGCCAGGGTGCCCTCGCCGCCGCTCAGACGCGCCGGGAAGCCGCCTCCCCGGAGCCGTTGTACCCGCGCCCCTGATCACCCCGGTAATCCGGGCACTGATGACCGAGGCCGAAAGCCCTTTGCAGAATCGGGAGAGCGAAGAGCCAGAGGGGAACCTAGGGCCTCGGGGAAAGACGTGGCCGCAGCACACCGCTCGCCTCGGGCGCGAGGCCCGCGCCCTTTTGCGCTCAAGGAAGTGGCAACGCGATTCGCACTACCTGGGTCGCGAGCTCGGACTCACCCAGCATCTTGCTCAGCTCGGCGTTGTGCAGGTCTGGGTTCTGCTGCGCCAGGCGCTTGCGCTCGTCCTTAGCCCACACCATGAAGGCGTTCATCGGCCGCCGGATGCGAGACTCGCCCTTGGCTCGGCCCGCCGCCCCGGCCGGCGCCCCGCTGCTCGCCGCCGCCTCGCCCTTCACCTTCATGTCCCCGAGGGGGCTCAGCGACTCGGCCCAGGGGCAGGGGCCCAGCCCGGCCATCACCGCGGGCAGCGCGCTCCGGCTCTGGCTCTGGTCGTCACTGGCGTATCCCGCATCCGGGCTGCTCATGGCGCTCCAGCCCGGCCCCGCGCCCCACAACCCTCCGCCGGACACGCCGCCTCCCCCGGCGCGGGGGGAGGGGGTGAGGAGCGAGCGAGGCCGAGGCCCCGCGGCTGCTCGAGTCTCCCGGGCCCGCACCCGCCGCCGGCGTTCCTGGCCAGTCCCAGCCCACGGCGCGGCGCGCGCCCCCGCCGGCCCAGTGACACTGCGGGCGCCCCCGGCCGCCAGGCCTTTTCTGCACCGATGTGGCCAATGGAGCGGCGGGGGCGGGCCGAGAGGGCGTCCTTTGGTCCACGCCCAGCCCGCCGTCTGAGTCCCAAGTCCCAGCTCAACCCCACGCCTGCCCTTTTCCCCTCCCCCGGCCTCGCGCCCCGAGCTGCACTTGCCCCGGGAGAACTGGCTGGAGCCGGGCTTTGGCGCCACGTCCTCTCTGACCTGGGAAGGGGGACTCCTGAGCAACCTGGGATGCTAACCGTACCTGGATAGAAGTACTTGGCCGCGGTAGTTGGGATCAACACACTAAGCACCCACTTTTTATTTCAGTGGTGTTTCAGTGGTGGGTGGCCTATCTTTCTTCCAAGGAACCCTACGGGTGTCTTCTTCAAATGTATTTTATCGAATGCAGTAGACGCTGTTGATAATAAATAAAAAACACATTCTTTCCCCAAGGACTCAACCTCCTTGTATTATATTCAAAATGCTATGTCGGAGGTAAATTCTAATTTCTAAAATAGGATGAAATAAGGAATGACTTTTCTGTAGCCAATATACTGTCATTCTGAAGAATTTAAAGCCCTTATTCCTAACGATGAACCAAGCCTTGAAAATTTGTACATGAATATATAATGAACATGATTTTCTCATGTGTGTTCAGTAAAAGAGACAAAAGTTTTGATTTCTAAAATGTGGTAAAAACAGCAGCAGTGTTTATCTAAATGCCCATCTATTAAAGGAAAGAGAGCAATCCTTTTGAGCAGCAAGGTAACTGTAGGTCTCAGGGTCAGTTTAAAGTGGTCATTCTCACAGATAATTAGGGGCTTCCTGTACATTTCTCTAGATTGGAATGAAAATCTGAATGACTTAAACTTGTATTTAAATCTGAGAAAACTTTTCAATGGGATTTTTAAATAAGCCCGTATATCGCACTTATATAGGCACAGCATGCCACACACTGTTCTTAGAGCCCTCCAGACATTAGCAAACTAGTTTACTTGTAAGGAGAAGGAAACAGCGCACAGAGAGGTTAAGGAATTTGCCCGAGATCACAGCGCTGGAGAGTGGAATTGATCTCCAGTAGTCTGCCTTCAGGCTTGGAGCTCTTGGAGCTCAGGAAACCACAGACTGTTGTGTTTGTGTATTTACGTTGTTTTCTAAGGCAGCTAACCAACCATTTCTGCATAATTAGATAACTTTGCCAAGAAATCAATATATCAATCTCCAGAACAGATTTTCCTTGTTTGCAGTGAACGGGTGATGAAAAACTAGGGCTCACACCCCAGATCTGGGAAGTAAATGCTGCAGCTTTTTGGGTGACACTGTAGTGACAAAGTAATCTGTCAAGTCTGCGTATTAGTGGCTTCCATAAAGACAAAGCAACACAGAGCCTTTGGAAACCCCTGGCCTTCAGTTTCTCTGACGTTGCTGTTTCTCCAGAGAAGTCCCACACACTGTTGTAAGCCAGCTTTAACCCTGTGGGGCTCTGCGAAGCTCTGGCTGCCCTCCCTCACCTTTAGCAGCCAGTCTTCACACAGGCGACAAACTAAGAAAGTAGTTCTAGTTCCTGGGTCTCTGCGGTGCACACAAGAAAAAAAATTAATCTGTTATAAGAAATCATAGAGAGGTGTTATTTTTAATTAGTTTTGAAGCAGCTGATCTTAAACAAATTTAACTGATTAGGTACTTTTCCTTTACGCTTTATTTTTTCTGAAAAAAAATTATCTTTAAAATTAAGCATAGTTGCATTGCAAATGGTTATATAAGTAAGGAAACTATAGGAGTAGAGAGAACAAATTAATCCCACACCTTGCTCCTTAATGTTTTCTTGGCGATCTTCTCTAACTTTTCCGGATGGTAATAAATATCTTTTCAAAGATCTCAAAGCAGAATTTTCTATTAGGGGAAAAGTTCTTATGAACTAATAGGAGTTTTCTTAGAATAGAGATTGAAAACTAAACAAAAACAATGCCCATTCCAGAATCCATTTTATCTGTCTAGATTAATCTATTTGACTAATTCTGTAAAAAATAAAATAGAGTACAGGAAATACAATCCAGGTGTGAGTCCAAACAATGTATAGGCGTGGATTTACCCTTGTACACTTTCTTCATCCTCGTTCTTCGTCGCCCACCTCACTATAGGAAGAGGTGCCAAGAGGGTCGAGAAACGGATGGCAAAGAAAACCTGGGGTTCCCCATTATTCTTTGCACTTGTTCCTAGACACTACTGATTTTTGTTGGTCAACATTATTAAGAAATCAGGTGTGAGCACGGCATCCATAGGATGGAGTTGGAGCTTCAGATTTGCCCTCCCCCTACTTCTCATAACACCCTCCTTGGGAGTTATAAAGTAGCAGTTAACTTATATTTACCAGGAAGGAATTATGGTGCCTTTCCAAGACTAGTTCCTTTTACATACCATTTCCTAGATCTAATTTCTTGTGATCATTCACTTGTCATATATTTCGGGGGGAGGGTGTTGGGGGCCGCGGTGCCGCAGACCAGTCCGCGGTGTGTGTGGACTCTTCTATTCAGGTCTCTTTACTAAACGCGGTGTTGGAAGTCCAGCTCGGGACCTTATCAGAGCCAGCCACAAATGCCACATGAAAAGCAGCAAACATCCGGAGTGACTTCCTGCAAGGCTTGCTTTTCTCAACACGAGAGATTTACGCGCGGGGGGGTGGGGGGCCAAACAAGTTTCTCGAGGAAGAGCCTTGTACACTCGCTCGTGTAGCCGGCCGGTGCATTCGCATTGCACGATCCCGGATCTCTGGGCTCCTGGCTACTAATTGCGCTCACGGTTCCCAGGCCAGACCTGAGGCTCGAAAGGCTGGGTGAGGAAGCGACTAGCGTAGCAAGAAGCTGTGCCTGTTACCACTTGGGGGTTTTGGCCAGCGGGCGCAGAAATTAACCCGGGTAGGTGACGACATGTGGCTTAGACCTAGAGGAGTCAGAGCCCCGCTTTTCCCCAGGCCCCTGAGTGACCAGGCAAAGGCTGGTGATTTCCTGCAGGCTTTTGTGTTTTCGATGCTCGGGAAGCGGGAGCCAAACGAAGGACACTCAAGTCGATGAGGAAGGCCATGGGCACCCAGACAGATCCGGGTTTGCTCTGGAGACGAAGTCCGTGGGGGCGGGGAGGGGAGTGCGCGTCGCAAACCCAGGGAAAACGCCGGGGCGGCCCGCCGGTGAATAGACAATGGTATCCCCGGGACAAAGAACAACAATAAGGCCTTTGCATTTATAAATCGCGCGCCGGGGGCGGCCCCGGGAGCCGAGCGGGAGGCGCCGCGCGGAGCGCGGCCGGGCTCCGCACCTCCAGGTAGGGCCGCAGCCCCACGCCGCCGATTCGCGCGCCCCGACGCCGACTGGGCTGTGGCACCGCGCCTCTGGATACCTTTCGCGTCTCCTCCCTGTCCCCGGGCCAGTCCCCCGTAGGTCCGGGATGCTAGGTCGAAGGTCGCGCGCGGGAGAGGGGAGGTGGAGAGGAAGGAGTGGCCGGGAAGATAGCGGCCACCCGGGCCCCCACCACACCCTTCCACACCACCCCCGCCCGGGCGGTCCCCGCATGGTTGGAGCTGTTCGGACCCGGCACCTGGCGCCCGACCCTGGCCCTCAGCGGCGCAGGCCTCTGGGGCCGGGGCCGACAAAGGGCGACGGCCGGAGGGGCTTTGGGGACTCGTTCCGCACGAGGATGGGAGACGAGCGTTCTGCTTTCACGCCCTCTCCCTCCGCCCGCATCCCTCCCGGGTCCGCGGCCCCCTCGAGGCCGCCCCCGAAACCCGGTTGGCAGCGGGCGACTCCTCGACCGTAACCCTGTTCCCGCTTGGCCCCGCCTGGGGTTTGCACAGGCGAAGCAGGAAATGCGCTGTTCCCGGTCCACTTCCCTGCTCAGAAACTCGTCCGGGGGTGTTTCTTAGATCCCCCAGCCCCTGGTCCCGGGTTGAAGTGTGGGCTCCTTCCCTTTGTCCCTGGCGTGGGGAACATGAGACTCCCGGGGGAGGCGGCGTCGGGGGTGAGGGAGAGGCAGCCCAGCTCCTTTCCCAGGACAAGTTACGTACACACCCTGTCTTGCTGTCTCCTTCATATCTGCCTCCAAATTTTAAAGGGAATTTCAATAGCGGCATTGCTTCTATGCGCCGCCTTCTGCTGACCTTCCCCACACCCTAGACGAGGCCAGGGCTTTCTTCATAGAGTGGTATCCTCAACTGACCAGACAGTCTTATCAGCGGCGCGTCCCCTGTGAGCAGAAAGAACACTTGCACTCCCACCCGAAGGAGATCGGACACGGCCCCTGCCTCGGAGGAATGCACAGAGCAGGACCATTAGTCTTCCTCCTTGATTTATTAACTCCCAGCTGGGTGTTCTAGGCCTGTTCTACTGTAATAATTTGTTCCCGGCATGTAAGGTGATGCTGACATCAGAACGCTAAGCGCTTTGAGATATTTTCTAGGAGAGGTAATAGGTTGCCTTTCTAACCTGAAAATTCTGGCTTGCCAAGTTTCCCTAGTCAACAAGGCTGCATTTTGCCAGGTAGTTGGTTTGGGCAAGGTAGGCATTCTGTGATCATGGAAACGATCCAAGTTAAATAGGTCGTAAGACAGGCGGCTCCTGACAGCTCCCGTTATCCTCTCTTTCTATGCAGCTTTAGCCACGAGCATATCAGATTTTGAAATGGCACCTGAGTTGGCTTCCAAAGTTTCTAAAAAGGAGAGAAAATATTAGGGATCCTTGCTGGATTCTTTTGCAGTCTTCGGTAGACCCCTGTAGCCTGAATTTTTTTCTCTGTCCATTTCTTGGACCTCGCGAACAACTTTGTCAATACTCTTCAATAGCAACCAGGATCTTTGGTTCAATTCATCTTTATATCCTTAGAGAACATAGTCCATTGGTATTTAATAAAGGCTTATGGATACTATAACAGTTGTGCTTCCTGATTGAGTCATGGGGTCATCTCCCTTCAAGGCAAGACACTAAGAATTATCTCTGTGAACCTCAGCAAAGACTCTGTTCTCATCTCAGGCACCCCTGTGTAGACCATGTGGTCCTCTGACTCCAGGCCTACACTGTTCTCTCTCATTCTCTCCTTCACAGGAGCTCAGTCTCCAGTCATTAAGCACCTGAAATCCTATCTGTTCTGAGGGTGAACTCAAGTCCTCTTGCTTTTCTGAACTCCTCATTTGACATGGAAGTCCAGGCCAAGAATGTACATGGAAAACTTTGCATGTGGATAAGCAAATTTCTATCTTTTGGGGCTTTTTCAAAACCAAAACCTTTACTTTTAATTTCTTCATATTTGTAGAGTACAGTTTACAAAGCACTTTCATCTAATCCTCATGACAGCCCTGAAGGTAGACAGCCTTCATTAATATCCCCATTTTTCAGAAGAGGAGGTTGAGATTGAGAAAAGATGGGGTTTTGTTTTGAATTTCTTTCCATGCCATGTCTATAGCCAATGAAGGACTTGATGGGGTTTGTAGGGACTAAATGAAGACAGTGGATAAGCAAAGGACTAAGGATTCTTTGCACAGAAACTTGGAATATTGTCCCTAATCAGGTCATGATAATTTTTTAATATCAGAGATGCAGGGCTGTAACGAGAAAGCATTTTCATTTAGAAGATCTATCATTAGATATTTTTATTAGATC